AAGCCCATTTACAAGGCCGGGACTCCGGCGGTGACCCACCATGCTCGCGGCCAGTGTCCTCGTAGCTCCGCCGATTCTCCTCCACACCGGAAAATACACGGCAGTTAGGTCAAACGGGAGGCACAATTTCAGAGTTTCTGCGGCTGAATTTCCGGCATTTCTTCCCAAGGAGGTGGAGAGTGTTAAGGATCTATTCGCCAGAAAGCTCGCTTCAAGAATCGAGAGGTTGCCTGTCCATGTAAGGTTTTATGTCCTGTCCCAGAAAAAGAAAAAAGAAAAGCCTTATTTTTTCGGGTTTTTTCCCTAATGGTGTAATTGGGATGTGAAGCAATTTACTTGAACTGGCATATTTCGAATTTTCTCATTGGCATCTTCGATTTCCAATTTTCTGTGTGCATTTGAGCTGTGCTGTTAATGGGTTTTGCATTGCATGGTTGATATGCGGTGTAATTTGAGTATAATTACTCTTCACAGAACAGGACCTTTGTTTGTGAACATTTTTTATCCCCTTTTGTTATCTTGGTATTATTGGATTCTAAATTGCGGCAATGCATGTGTAATTTAATAGCCCTCTTGTACAAAAAGATGTTATTTCTAAATAGTAACCATTTTCCAAGACCCTTTTTAGTTTTCTCTGTTTTCACTTTTTAGTTAAATTGGGGGATTCTTTTTATTTACTTATTTTCCCCCTTCTCTGCAGCTAACTTTGTCCAAGACTTGCCTGATGAGTAGCTGTGTGAAGCCAAAGACGCAGCTCGATGCAAGCCCGCTAGTTCTTCTTCACGGTTTTGATAGGTTTGCGGGCTCAAATATTATTAAGAGCTTTTGAAACACATTTCACTCTCCTTTTCTCATCATGGTTCATTCACTTATTATTCGTCACAGCTCGTGTTTAGAATGGAGATGTACACTTCCTTTGCTTGAAGAACATGGCCTTGAAACTTGGGCTATTGATGTTCTTGGCTGGGGCTTCTCTGATTTGGGCAAGTTTATTTTTTTCTTCATATAATAATGAGATTTAAATTAATAGAGCATCTTGTTAACCTTCTCTTCTCTGATTTTGCTAAATATTAGAGAAGCTTCTCCCATGCAGTGTGGATTCAAAGCGTGATCATCTTTATCAGGTGTGCACTGTACACTATTCTTTATTTGTTTATTTATTTATTTTGTTATGAAATTGAACTGATTGGGTTCAAGTTGTAATAGATCAAATTTCTGATCAAATTTATTGGTCTCTCATATGCTTCTTTAGTTGGTCATTTAAATTCGTGTACATATTACTCATTCTCAGTTTTGGAGTTCATATATCAAACGCCCAATGGTATTAATCGGACCTAGTCTCGGGGCAGCTATCGCCATTGACTTTGCAGTCAACTATCCAGAAGCTGTAAGCACTAAAACGCAAGAATGAGTGTGGCTTTGTTTTTANAATCTTCCAATATTTATCTCTTAATATATTCATGGGATTTGTAGATTTTTTTTAAGTTGAATATCGTAAACTAATTGGAAAAAAAAAAAAAATTGTCCTTCAAGTTTTCTCTATATTCGTTACGTTTTTTTACATTACCCACTGTGGCATTAAAATTATTACTGCTTGCATTATCATATTTCTTTAAGTTTTCCATCTTTTTAAGTGGCTCTGCTACTAGGAATGATAATTATATGTTGTGTTAACTCATGTTAATATTTTTCGGCAGGTGTATCTCTTAAGGAGCTTACCTTTGCGTATATATGCAACATCACTGGCGTTCAATGGTTCATTACCCTGGGAAACCTGCTTGGATTGGACAAATGTAAGTTGCCAATTTTCTAACATATAGAATTTTCATGACAGGTTTTATGAATTCTTCTAACACACGTAAAACATTTGGCATTTTCGACATTGTCACTTTGAATTATTACAATTAATTTTTCAAATTGTGCTGCCTCAGATTGGCCGCCTTCATTGTTCATTGCCTTGGTGGGCAGATGCTACAGTTGATTTTATGATAAGTGGAGGCTATAGTGTCAGTACTCAAATCGAGCAGGTTTGTGCAAAATGAACTCGATATTTCAATGCCAATATGTAACATATAAAAAAATAAATGTAAATAAAAGAAATCTGTTTTCTTTGCTTAATTTTGCAACTTGTGCAGGTAAAGCAGAAAACACTTATCATATGGGGAGAAAATGATCAAATTATTGACTATAAGCTTGCTGTAGTAAGTAGCGCCTCATTTTTATTTCGTTTTTCATTTTCCCAAACACGTGGTAAAAAAAATAATAAATAAATAAAGTGAGCATTTTACCTAAACAGAGACTACATAGTGAATTACCGAATGCAATTTTGCGGCAAATACAAGACTGCGGCCACATTCCTCATGTAGAGAAGCCAGAAGCTGTTTCCAAGCTGATAGCGGAATTTGTTAAAGCTGAAGATAAAGTTAATAAATTGAGAAAATTGCAAATGCTAAATTTTTCGAACGACTAAGGTCGGTTGTTGAATGTTGAATGTGTCTACTATATTTTCCGACAACTTTTTGACCCGATTTTTTGTTCTTGTTGCTAAGAATCTCTTGTACTTTGTACTAGTCTCATCCTCCCGTCATCGATAGTTTGTGATGGAAGTCGGTTTTGTATTTCAACATCAAGACTTGTATTTCCTATTAGCTTTGTATGTGAGTAGTTGATGTTGTGAACTCATGATCCATGAATGAAGCTCATGTTTAGAATGGTTGATGTGGTTGTTTCCTTTTAGCCTGTATTGATATTTAAGCTAACACGTTTCACGATCCTATTATTTTATACATCATATCACATTTAAAATCAACAACTATTAAACTCACACAACATTTTTGCCTCATCCTTTATGTCAAACAATTATGTTAAATAGTTTTTATTCTATATTTCTATTAGATTTTTAGATTTAGTTTATATTTATGTACAATCTACAAAAAGTTTCATTCTTGCCTTCAAAATCTTGTTCCACTCTTCATTATTCTCTATAAAAATGAATTTCTTTGTTAACAAACAAGTGAAGTAACAAAAGCCTCATAGCAACCAAATCAGCAAAACAATATAAATGAAGTCGACTACATATCCCACTGCTAAGTTGTTTATCAGTAAATGTAAAACAACACAATTTTTAGAAAGCAAAAGTTTGGCATAAAGCCAATTAGAAAAGAGCAGAAAATGCAAGTGAAATTCTCTCTCTCTCATGTGTTTTAAATATTTAAAAGAAAAATGCTATAAGTACATAAAATATTCACCTCTTTCCGAACATAGCAAAATCTCATTATCTCAAATTTAAGCCAAAAAATCTCATGCCGAAATGAAACTCAAGAAGTGTGCTAAAAAAGTATTATCTTGAAATCCGACATAAATTTTGTGTAAAACGAGCAAGAAAATGGCTTCATTTACCTTTCGCATTACTTCTTGAGCTTCATTTACCTTTTGGAACTCTCCTGCTCGATTATTGAGTTCATTTGTCAGACAATCACTAGGATAAGTTTAAAAAAAAAAAAAAATTAGAGTACCTCAATCATCAACTAAATAGCAGATGCAAGACATTCAACATTCAGAGTCAGATTACATACAGAAAATAAATAAATAAAGCTACTACCGTCTTTCACAAGTACTCATTAGATTGATTAAAAACCGATAGAAAATATATAGGAACGACTTAAACAGCTAATCATACAAATAATAAAACCAATCCATAAATTCATGTCACCCTAAGGAATGCAAGCAAAGAAGAAAAAAGAAATAATAGGTAAAAAAAAAAATACTCATTTTCTCAAACTAGCACCTAAAATTTACACGTTTGTTTAGATTTTGTTTTATCTCCCTTAATTATTAGTATTATTTAACATTCAAATTTGCCTTAACACAAAGGCTCCCAAATGCTGAGACTCACGAAAACCCCCAAACCTCCCCTCAACCTCCTCCACCGCTTCCAATCCCTAACCACCGCCGCACCACTTACCGGCGCTCCACCTCCACCGGCCGCAAACCCCATATCACCGATCAACGAAGCACACCTCCTCCGTGTCTGTACAGTCCTCTACCAGCAGCAAAACGCCCCGAACACAAAGCTCCACGCTAGCCTCACCAAAACGCGATTCGATCTCAGCCACGAGTTTTTCCTCCAAGTCTGCAACAAATTCCCGTATTCATGGCAGCCCATTTACAGATTTCACTTATTCTCCACATCCCAACCCAATTTCGCCCACACACCCACCACCTTCAACAAGATCCTTGACGCCGTCGGAAAATCAAGAAACATCGACCTTTTCTGGGAACTCTGCCGGGAAATCGGTCAACGCCGTCTGGTCAACGTCAAGACCTACATAATTGCCTTGAGAACGTTGGCTGCAGCTAGGGAGCTGAAAAAATGTGTCGAATTTTTCCATTTGATGAATGGGTTCGGGTATGTGTATAAAGTTGAGACCTTTAACATCGTTCTTGAGTTTTTATGCAAAAACAAGCTTGTCTTGGAGGCTAATCATATTGTGATTAAGTTGAAAGATTGGATCAAGCCCGATGTGACTACCTACAGATGGTTGATCTACGGGTTTTGCGAAGTGGGCAATTTAATCGAGGCCTCGAAGGTGTGGAATTTAATGGTGGACGAGGGTTTCGAGCCGGACGTGAACGCGATTGAGGTATTGTTGGAGACTCTTTTCAAGAAGAATAAGTTCGACGATGGTTTCAAGCTTTTCCATGAGACGCGTGCGAAAAGAATCGAGTGTTTGGGCCTTTCGACTTACAAGCTCGTGATCAAATGGCTTTGCAAGAAAGCCAAAATGGGAGAGGCACGCGTCGTGTTCGATGAAATGCGTATGAGAGGAATAGAGCCCGATAACGAGATATTTGGGTCCATTGTTTATGGGCTTTTGAGCCGAGGAAGGATAAATGAGGCTCGCAAATTTTTAGAAGACATTGAGAATCCGGACATATCTTTGTACCACGGGATGATCAAGGGGCTTGTGAAGCTAAAAAAGGCGAGCGAGGCTACGGAGATTTTTCGGGAAATGATACGAAAGGGGTGTGAGCCTACCATGCATACGTATATCATGTTGTTGCAAGGGCATTTAGGGAAGAGGGGAAGAAAAGGGGAGGATCCTTTGGTCAACTTCGATACTATTTTCGTGGGGGGTTTGGTTAAGGCCGGAAAGCCTTTGGATGCGGGCAAGTACGTGGAGAGGGTGATTGATAGAGGAGTTGAAGTGCCGAGATTCGATTATAATAAATTTTTGCATTGTTTTTCGAACGAGGAAGGTGTGGCCATGTTTGAGTCCATGGCTCGGAAGTTTAGGGAGGTGGGGTTGTTTGATTTGGGTGATATTTTCGAGAGGTATGGTTTAAAAATGGCGACTAGAGATCGGAGGAGAAGTAGAGAAGTAATCGAGTCATTGGAAGAAGGTTTTTAAGAGTGATGGTTTTTTGGTTCTTGATTGGTTAAGGAGCATTTAGAGGGAGAAATTCATGTAAGAATGTTTTTGATGATGAACCTAATTAGTGTATTTGGTGATTGGACTTGCTTGAAGATGTTTTTGGTGATGAACGTTATTAGTATGTTTAACTTACTGATTTTGGAGTGGATTTATGTATAAATTGAAGTTTTTAAGAGATGGATTGATGAAGTTATAGGTTAACGGATGTTAAAGAATGTCATCTCAATGTTGATTGAACTTCCATTTCAATCTCAAAGAACCCAAATTTCTTGATTCTAATAGCAGATACAAGTAGATAAGTTGAAATGACTTTGCTTCTGTCTTTACTCTTTAATATGCACAAATGCAGAAAGAGTTTACAAGTAAAATTTAATTCATAATATCTTTATAATTAAATTTAAATTTCTTTCTCAAACTAAATAAAAATATTACAAATGGAACTATAGATTATCCGATAAATAAATAAAAACATTTAGATAAATATACCAAATACTGATTATTTTGGTGTAATTTCTATAGTTTTGGAAAAAAGAAATGCAGAAATCAGGTATGAACATAAAAAAATATAAAACATTTCTAATGCTTATGTGTATATGTTTGAAATTTTAAGCGATATTTTGAGACTTTTTAAGATTTTTAGATTTAGGAAGAATGTTATAAAATTTTAAGTCTGGATGTGGGATTTAGAGTGATTTTTTTTTTCTATTGAAATCCTAATAAATCTTAAAAAGTCTTAACAAATTATAATATTAAATTAATTAAATACCTCATAATTTTGTAAGACTTTTTAAAATCCCAAATGAATATCCTGAAACTTTTAAAAGTCTTAAAGATCTAAACTAAATACAACAAGATTTCTAAAGTCTTAAAAATATTTAGAAATCTCAAATGAATCTATCATTATATAAAAAGAATAACCTTTTTACAAATTTAGAAACATTTTCCCGCCAAAATCATTAAATATATCCTACATATAGTAATTGTTGGACAAATCTGAATAGACAAATAAATTGCCTCATTAATTGTGTAAAAATTTGTTTCTCTTTTTCCTGTTTTTTAGTTTATCAAAATCGTTGTTTGACAATAAATATTTATTTTTCTTTTTCCTATTTTTAGTATAAATCTACACGAGTTTATCTCTTATGTTACAAAATCCCATTGCATACGTCTCACGTGTTTAAAAAATCTCATCCCTTATCTATACAGATTTGAAAAAAATAAAATAAAATAGAAACTAATTCATAATTACTACTAGAAATCCATTATCTACTTTAATAAGCTAATTTTCATCGGTCTAATTACTAATATTTTTACAAATATTATAATATCTACTTTAAGAAGCTAATTTTCATCGGTCTAATTACTAATATTTTTACAAATATTATAAGCTAATCATACAAAAAAGTATAATAATAATTTTGAAATGGTATGTAACCAATTTTTTTATATTCTCTTATACATAATAATTTTACATTGTTTGACCCCGAATCTTTAATTAATAATTATTAAGTATTGTTTATCCTCTTCTTTAATTTATAATTATTATTTTTTCTTCCTCTTTCTAAATAGGATCAATAGTAGATTCCACTTCCGCCATTGAGTGACTCAAACTCGAGGTCTATTTATAATATTGTTAATTTAATATTGTTTCCGTGCATCGCACGGGGTACACACTAGTACACTTAAAACAAAGTATGCAAAGGATTTGACTTTACCATAATGGCAAGAAAAAAACTAACTAGATATCATACTAGAGAAAAATAAAATCATTCATTATATTTCACAAAGTCATAGAATGTTACATTTGTATACATTAATTTGATTTTGAAACTCTGAATCATCCATACACATTAATTTATATTTTAAACCATCAAGTATAATTTATACAACATGTCTAAAATATCTAAAATATTTATATATATATTAAAATTATTTTCATAGAAAGTAAAAAAATTCAAACAAATCAGATCGNTTTTGGTGATGAATGAACCTATTAGGTGATTTGGTTTCGATCAAATCATTGACTGACTAATCCGATCTGATTTTTAAACCATGACAAATATGCAAATTGATATAGAATACAATATCAAGTAGAGCAAACCCAACAAACCAACTGACTAGGCCGGTTGGACCGCCTGATCGAGCACAGGTAGGTCGAACGGATGTCGAACGACAGTACAGAACAAAGAGTTTACAGGCCGTGAAAGGCATTAAAGGTTTCAAGAGACACCGACAGGTCGAGTTAGGGCCCTCGTGTTGGTGTATATACTGAAAGCTTTGCTTTGGATATTATTTACACTA